GTGAATGCGATTCCAGGGCAGCGCTCTAAGCTGTACATTTGTAGATGGAAATTTTAAATATTTTTATGCAGGAACAGTTGCAAAAAGTTCAACTATAGGCCCTCTGGCAGGAATGGAACCTGTGGCTCGACAACTAGAATCTTTAGCTCGCATGGCTTGCCTGATTCTCCAAATTTCATCTACTAAAAACCTTCAACACTTAGTTCTATCGAGTGAGATCCCCAAATCCTGATAGCAATATTCGTTTCACGTTTCAAATTTTGTTTTAATATTTATTAGCCATCAACACAAACGAGAAAAACGTTTTGGTTCCAGACCATATAATTCCAGTTGATGTTTTGAGGAATGAAAAATCATGTCAACCAATAATGAACTATCAGATACTCAGCGTATGTTATTGCATGCCATTATGTTTTCGAGTCTTCTATCCACTCTTTGTGATGGAATTTTTTAGTTATGACTTATGTGGACCATGTCAATCAGAGTTGTTTTGTTGGCACAGGTTAAAAATTGTTATCTTAATTTGTATAGATGTTTGCATGTGTGTAATTTTGCACACCTTCCAAGGTGTGTATTTGCAAGCTGTGTAGCAAGCAAAAAGGTGTGTTATTTTGCACACCTTGCAAGGTGTGTAAAAAAGCACGGCTTAAGGTGTGTAATTTGTTCGCTAGAGATTCAGGGCAAAATACACACCTTATTGTGTGTAAAAATACATACCTTTTTGAAAAACACGCCTCAAGGTGCGTGAATTTGGCGAAAGCAAAAAACGCAAAAAACACACCTTAAGGCGTGTTTTTACACACCTTTATCTTGCAAATACACACCTTCAGGTGTGTAAAAATACATTGGGATGCTGTCTCTCCCACGTTTGAGAGTCTCCGCACCACGAAATGCGACTTAGTTATTTGTATAATAGTAAATTTACAGTTGACAACTTTAAAAAGTCGTTTTTCACGTTGTTTGAATTGTCTAGAATCTTTCACGAGGGCAGTCCCTGCCTATCCGCCCGAAAATTTAGTGGATTAGTATAAATATCACCTTCCTAGGTTCATAGTCTAATCCAGAACGATGTCTGACTGATTAAACGTTTATTAATATCCGCTAAAGCATCTGTAAAGTTAAATCGCGGGTTAAGATACCATAAATCTGGGTTATCATCGAATTGTGTCTGTTGTGATGTGTTCCTCTTCGTCTGGTTTGTTTGACTGAGTTTGTAACCCGTTCTCGCAGCCATGTGTTGGGGACCTGGTGACTTACGTTTGTGACCTCGTTTCATCTGAGAATTTTTTAGTGGGCTTGTGATGTCCTACATAGGGAATATACAAAAAACAACATGTGAAATTTTATGTGGAATTGGAGCATGTCACATGTGAAAATCAGGGGCGTAGCTAGAGGGTGTGTGTGTGTGTGTGGGGGGGGGATGTAACATCGGCAAATTGTTTTCGTAGTCAGCGAAAATATTTGAGTGGCTCGGAATAAAAAGCAATAGTTATAGAAAATGTTTTGCTATATTCGCCGTTCCGGGCGTAAGCCCGGGGCGAGGGTACTAATTCCGCCCGGCTATTTACACCCGGGGAAACGAAAGCATTAGCGAAGTCTAAAGTTCATCAATGATCGCGGGCGTGACCAACGGTGTTGAGTGGATGGTCATCATTGATCTCAAAATATGGCTGTTTGCCAGGAGTGAAGAAGGCAAGAAATATAAAAAAATACATGTAAGAGAGCTGGGAAAATCGTTTCACATAACAAATTGTACAACTTTTCTGCAATTTTTAAACGTAAACATTTATAAGAATTGATATTGCATGAGAAATCCTAAAGTATAGGGCAAGTTTGTTTCAATTGTTTATGTATGACATTGTATTTAATAATATTGACTTTGTTCTTAATGTTCAAGTCTTTCCCATGCATTGTTTGCGAGAGTTTCTTAGTTAAATTAACTTTTGTAGAAGTTCATGATAAAAAGGAAAGCAAATTATTTTCATTAGCGTCGTGTACGAATTAAATTTGATTCATTTCAAAGTGCGCGCGAGTAATAAGTTGAAGCTCGAGTTGAGATCTAGAAGTTTATAAATGTCGGTAAAAAGCAGTTAATTTCAATTCACATTTAAAAACGTTTTACGCAGAGTTTCGTTTTGAATTTGACATAGAGACCCATAAAGCCCATAGAAACCAAAATAATATACCTACATTATATATTTTAGAGATTGATAGTTCTGTATTTAAAAGTGTTCAAATTTCATATATTTTTTTTAGGTTTGTACAAAAAATTAAAAAAACAATTATCGTGTTGCCATGACTAACATGACGTGAGCAACGCGAGCCTGCGTACAGCGTTGGCGTAATTACGAATACTTCATGTTGAAACAATGTTTGGAAAATATAGGTGAGAGGGCCCCCTATACCTCTTCACAACATGCTTTCACGTAAAAATATTTTGCCTTTTCACGAGTCACGAAAAATTGAAAAAATTCCTTCACGTTCACGGAAAAATTGAAGCGATCACGATTCACGTAAAAATAAAACAAAATTCACGAATTATTATATGGATGTCTTCCTTAATTGTAGAATCATTGTACTCGTCTGTACTTACTTCGACATGCTTTCAAACCTCCAACTATGACGAAAACAGGCTTCTGTACATCAAGTACTTCAAAAAACAGCAACAAACCTTATTTATTCCTTGGAAAGCTGATCACACAAAAGG